AAAGATCCAAACAACTCCAACAACTGTCTTTATAATCTGACACACCTATGATGTTTTTTTAATATAAACAAAGCATGTGTATCGTGCTTTATGTGACAGACAAATTATAGCTATGACCCACGCTAGTAGTAGGCAAGCGAACACAAACAGAAAATTTCTTAGTGCTATTAGTGACGTTACTGCGATCGGTGTGATTTTATTACGTGCGTTTGCGCAGCCAATGTCACGTTTAAAATACGTAAATCTTGACGCGGTCTAATTTGGTACATCGTTTCCTACCAACTGAGTCAATAGTAGTCAACCTTTTTATTTGTTTAATATCCTTAACATCACATTTATTGCGGCAAAGAAACAAAATTTAAAGTTGTGATCCCAAATAATGCTAAAGCCAATTGTAACAATTATAAATAATACTTTATTTTACTTAGTAGCTACAATGAATTCAATGCGTAAATAGTATTTTTTCGTTCGAGTTTTCCCCTTTTGTAAATACAGCTACATAACTAAAAATCCATAATCAGAGTAGGTACGACATTAAATGGGTAATTCCAAATGACGAGTTCTTGTTTATAAGTGTCAGATTTCTAAGTATAACTCGATTCATAATTGTGGAATTAATTATCAAATTTAGTTGAAAAAAACTTGCAATCGAAATAGATAGCCGTTATGTTGCAGCTGATAATGTGTTTGTTCATCATTTACGTGGCAATGGAGTCTACATATAGTGTTATTTTTGTGTGAAATTAGTTAGAAGGCGGGAATGACCCGACTTATTTTTACTGTTGCTAGGCCCTTTGACTACGCAGCGAAACTTGGTTAACAGCTAGTTATCATTTAAAAATTAGTAATGTATAACAGACTATATGACTTTTATGTATATCTATATCCTACCAAAAACTCGAATTTCAGACGACCATGACATAAGAACTTTGACTAGATACTTATGATTTGAGTATAGTGAAGTGTTTGTATTATTTCGTTAAAATATTTCCATACGATGAAAATTAGTAGCTCTTGTTAGGTAATCGTATGTTAGTTTAATCAAATTATTACAAGAGATTATATTTGTAGGTAAGGGTACAAACAATGTTTGTTTACCGACTGATGTCATAGCTGCTTGTATGAGTTATGTGACTTAAAAAAATCAACGTTTCAACTTAAATGCGATAGAAATTTAGCAAAAATTACTTATTATATTTGTATAGAACTGGCCAAGAGCGAGTTAAACTTGCGTGCAGAGGGTTCCGCATAAAATTAAATATCAAAACTACTTTACTGTTATCTATAAATATTTTTTGGTTTCGGGGAGATCAGCGGCTTTACCTGGCTCTATCGCGTAATTCTGTCGTAATGAAGCCTTGAATGATCAGCCAGACGCACACTATAACTTAAATAAAGCTGGAGTTACGCGATAGAGTCACAGGAGGATCTTTGTCTATTTCGTCTATTATCTAAAATAACTTCAAAATTACTTAATAAAAATATTTTGAGATCCTTATAATAGTGTATTATTGTATTTTCTAAGTTTCCTACCCCCGAAATGAAGTCGCCATATTTTAAATTCACTTGTGTACGCTATGAAAAGAAATTAAGTTCAAAGCTTCGGAAAAATTCGGCTTAGGTAATAAGGATTTAAGGATGCGTACTGATATTTTTATCGTGCTAGTGTTGGCTGTCGAATTAAATAAACCGATTTTTGCAAGGACAGATAAACTATTTGGCACTACTCATAATGAATGGGGTCCCATTATGTTCGAATTTTTTAAAATTCTAATGATACTGTGGCATAATATTACTTCGCTATATTTTACAGTTTATGACGGAAATATTTATTCCATAATTTTACTAGACATGAAGAACCGACCAATCAGCTATGTTAAATGGATTGTTCAGGATGGATGACTTCAGATCCTATCATATGACTTTCATATCCAGTTGTATACCCACTTATGACGTCATAACTTCGCAAGCAGACGACTTAAATACGACGAAAAAGAATAGGATCACTCGATTCGGCTATGACATGCAGGAGCATTTTTACAGAAAATTATGGAATAAATATTTCCGTCATAAACTGTAAAATATAGCGAAGTAATATTATGCCACAGTATCATTAGAATTTTAAAAAATTCGAACATAATGGGACCCCATTCATTATGAGTAGTGCCAAATAGTTTATCTGTCCTTGCAAAAATCGGTTTATTTAATTCGACAGCCAACACTAGCACGATAAAAATATCAGTACGCATCCTTAAATCCTTATTGAAGAAACTATACATAACAAAAATTCGATTTTTTTAATGATACAAAGTTAGTGTACATCGTAGCAACTATACGAAGGAAACAGCACAATTTCACATTTCTAACTAGTAGTAAGTTAGGAAGGTAAAATTATACTGTTTTATAATGTAAGCGAGCAGGAAGAGTTTTGCGAAATCCCATTGGATTCCACGAAAATGTATAAACTGGCGTACTTAAGAAACAGCTTGTTCTAAATAACAAATCAGGTTAAACAATCAAAGTACAGTTAATTAAAAAAAATATTGGTCATAAAAACTGCAGTTTTCTTTATCTTTTACTACCTAGTGTGTTTTCTACTTACAATTCAAATGAAGGAGCATAACAAATTTCTAGCTGGCTACGGTTCTTCATTTTACTACCGTACCTAAACAAATAGGTACACGTTAAACAAACACCCAACTGACTAAATACATTATCAAGAATCATACATAACATAAGATTAGATAAGGGCTCTAGTATTATTTATCGATTTAATAGAGTGTAGATGCTGTTGATGCCAGAATATGTTCCTAATAATAAAATAAATATACATTAATATTTTTTGTGATGTCGAAGTGAGAAGTGAAAAAGTGACGCAATGGGATGTTGTGGTGACTGCTGCGTTCCACCAAAAGAATCAAGTAAGGACTAGAAAAAAAAATGGCTTACGTCATATTAAATGGTAAAAAAGCATAAAAAATATTGCTAAAGTGCCTATTTATAGAGCCTATACCACCGTAACATTGTGTATAAGGGTCGGTGCATATTTGACGGATGATGTATAGCGTGATAAAGTATTAAAAAAAAATAATTAGTTCTCGAAATCAAACTAGATGTCGCTACGGTACGTTCTTGATTTCTCCATGACAACCCTTCCGGTTTCCTTTCATGTATAAAAGTAAATTAGTTTTCGAAACTCAATAAACAACTCATATTCTCTTGTGCTTTTTCGCATTTGTATTGATATCTAAGTTTCAAACTTTGCAAATTTCAGTTTTTTAATATGTTAGTTAAACGGAACGGAAATGACTGTCTTTGGTCCATTCGTTTGCAAAAAATTAACTTCCGCTAGAGTGGAGTGTGTGGTGGAGGTCTAGTGAAGGTGCTTTTTAATGCTTTCTTTTTTTTACTACTTCTTCATTGTCGCTCGCGGAACGGCAAAATTGTTAATTTTGTAATATGATATTTGATGGATGACCAGTCACGTACACGTACTAATATTTTACGCTAAAATTGCAATTTTGACTAATATTAAGTGCAGTCTCAGCGTAAATTTATTCCAACTTAGCTTGTTTATTAATAACACTGATAATGTTTGTTTATGGTGTAAATAAACAATACCGAACTGGCATGATACGAATAGATAAATTAACCTTCAAATTAATAATGGGACTTTAACAAATATAGATAGATTCTTAAAGAGGTAGACAAGAGTTTTAGGACGACTTATGACTATCGGCCGTCGTTTCCAAGAATTGTATATAAAATGTAAGCAATGATCAATACACGTTACGCCTAAATGATGGTAGCAAAACGGCCAAGCTATATGTTTTAACGAAGGTGTAGTTTGTAAATATAAGGATTGTAGAGCTACGGTACCTAGAGTTTTGACGGTGCGAGTCATATGGTTTGGTATCGGAAACATTTTTAAAAAAGTTTTGGGAATTTTCTCTATTTGCTAAGGTTTCATTATTAATTTAACGAGTATTCATTATTAACTTGCACTCTAACCTGCTGTTACGGTTTCTTAAATAGAAAATTCATTCCAATGTCCAATGAAACGGTTCGATAGAGTTAAACAATACAAAATCAAAGAGTTGTTTTGACAGAATTATGAAATATACTGGGATTTTATAAGGTTTTTATAAGGTTCTTATAGGAATCATTGCCATCTGTCATTAATTTCATTTTCATTTTACATATTGAAATTAATTTATTCACTTGACATTGGCAAAATTGTGCGAAATGCGCATATAAGCCATTAATAAAAAAAGAAGAAGAAGAAGGTTCTTATACGATTATGTCAAAAGTGTTCTTTATGAGCATAGATAAAGTTTATGAGATACTGAATGGATATTAACAAATTAGCAAAAAAAATTGTTCTGTTGAAGTGATTCCTGTGCGAACTGTTCCTTATGAGATACTTGCACTGCTAATCCTATTAATATTATAATTTTGAGTTTCTTTGTTTGGATGTTTGTCCGTCAATCACTTCGAAACTACTGAACGGATTTTGATGAAATTTGGTATACAGATAGGGTATTAGCTGACTTAGATAATAGGATACTTTTACTTTTTATCCCACAAAACATTTCCCTAGAGTCCACGCGGGCGAAACCGCTGGCGAAAGCTAGTACACAATAAATGATGAAACAGCTTCTTAGATTATTAAGTTTATGAATGAATAGTATATAAGAAAATAATTAGTGACTTCATAAAGTTGTTTTAGAGTAACATTATAGTTCTTCTATTTTCTAGAAAGTCGCCTGGTCATTAACCCAAAGAATGCAAAGGAATGAATATAACTTAGATGGATAAATTAATTTACAAGAATCGACCTAAAATTTCATTTACAATTAATTAAACCAAATGAATTTGAGTTCTAAAATATATAACACTGCCGATACTAAAGTGTATGGGATCATATTATACACCCAACATATTTGACATCATAATCCAATTATTCAGAAAATTATTTTAATTAAACTTTTCTTTTAAAGGGGAACCATTAAAATACGATCCTGACTTCAAGGGGCCAATTCACAACAGATCCTGCACCGATATCATATGGTTGTTACTATTCATCGTCTTCCTAGGAGGATGGGGTTTCGTCGGTTATTATAGTAAGAGCGCAATAATCAAATATCGACTTCTTATTTTTCATCTTATATTTCATAATCTGCATGTGACTCATTTTTTTTGCTATATTTCAGGTATGAAAAATGGCGATGTGAGAAAGCTACTGGCACCAATAGATACGAAGGGTCGTCGATGTGGTCTAGATTCAGGATTGGAAAATAAGAAATACCTTATGTTCTTCAACATAGCTCGTTGCTTGCAACCTGGAACTCCTATCACTGGGTGTCCCACTCCACAGGTATTTCTTTTTCTCCACAATATTTTTCTGATAAACAAAGCTATATTACTTACTAAAGGTACTTATTATGTGTTTTCTCCAGGTCTGTGTGGAGAAATGTCCCGGAGAAACGATTTTGTTCGAAACAAGGCTAACACCGGCTACATTCAATACGTACAGAAATTCTATGGTGTGTACTGATGAAGTCAACATGAATTCATTGACATACGACCAAGCGCTCACATATATGCGGCAAGAAAAATGCGCCAGCTACGTTTTGAAGAGCCAACCAGGTGAGAATTATTAAGATTATATTCTTAAGTTATGTTATTGTTTTGCCGTTTTATTGTTAGATGGAACTAATCGGTGTGATACTAATGGATGTTTTTAAAATAACATGAGTTTGCGTGAAGTTTTTATAATAAAACAAGCTCAGGTTCATTTAGAAAAAAAAACAACATAAACAAATAAATCACAGTGTTGTTCCGCTGCATCGGTGATCTATCGACCATGCCCCAGTGTAAGGGCGCCAGCACGACCTCCCAGAGTGATGACAGCGGTCAGACCTGCGTGAGGGACTACAAAGTGGCGCAGAAGTCTCTGTTTAACCGTGCTACAGCCCTCGACTCGTACGTGGGCTGGATAGCTGCCAGCTGGGTGAACTACTTCACCAGGAATGAACGTGATACACACGTTGTAGGTAGCGGTGCGTCCATCGACGCACGTTTCTAAATCGCACGTGTAACCGCTTGTTATGCATTAAATTTCAATGTGCCGGTATGATAACCTCACGCATGGTCAACAAACATAACACAAAACTAACAGTATAATATAGCAACTGCATTATAGTAACCATAACATTCTCTATATTCATAGTCGAGGCTGCCGCATGTTCGTATAGATCCAAGATCTATTTATCCCATAATGCATATTATAATCGTTATTAACTTCCCATGTAAGAACGTATCTTAATTCTAACGACACTTGGTAAATTGTGGCAAACAAATATTAATGGTCCACTGGATATGCATGTCTGGTGCATGGAGCAGTTGTCGGCCGGTGCCTCATGAATGTCACGGAAGCCATCGAGGTAGTGGACACTCTCCGAAACGCCACCGAAGAACTCGGTCTCAACGTAAACGAGGTGGCCAGTCAAATCAACGCTTTGGTAAATTATGAGCAGGTAGTGTAAAAGTATATCGTAATCAGCTAACCATGTTGCATTATTTAGGTACTTACCTATATCAGTGAAAATGTTACGATTAATGTATTTAAAGATAATGTGGTGGTGATATAGTAAAACTTATTGATATGCATTTTAATGATGAATGTTATATATGTACTTTTAGTTGACAAAGGATTTCATGTTATATACCTACGATCATTTCATTGATACGATAGATTACATTGATACGCAAAACTGTGAGTCATTTTATATGTAAGTAAATGCATGATTTTAGTAAGGTGTAGGTGTTTTAACATTTTTCGAATACTTCATATTCTTAGCCGGTTTTAATGAGAATATTTCCCTAGAGATCACCTCGAATATCTCTAAGTATTTTCTATAAAATCTATAACAATATTGCATTCTGAATGCAAAATTTATCAAATACAATAAATTATAAAACTTAGACATAATGCACACCACATTTTATTTTTTCTCATAGACGACATTATATAACAACTAATCGTTTCTGAATACATTGCATACCTAACAAATATTTATTATAAACTTAGTTTTTAGCTTTTTCTATACATTTATCCTAAACATGGTGGACTGAGTGGCTGATTAAAACTTGGCGAAATAATAACTGATATTTCTGATAATTAATGTATGTATATAGCTGTCGGCGCAAATAGTACAAGATCTGGTACAGTCGCGGTGGTACATGGCGGGCGCGCTCGTGGGCGTGGTGGTCATATGCTTTTTGTACATCCTCCTGCTGCGGTGGGTGGTCACGCCTGTCGTTTGGGCTTCCATCGCGTGCCTACTGGGAGCCCTAGCCTTTTGTAAGTTCCATCCCATATTTATGAAAACTAAGATTGTTAATATGTTCAATGTGTTTGAAACCGAGAATATATTTGATGGTTATTTCTGTTGCAAAATTTTTCTTTAAATGACGGAATACAAAGAAAGAAGTCTTAATACGTAATTTATATACACATATTAAAAATATATTTAAAATTTCAGCATTATACCTGTGCTACAACAACTACATTTACTACCGTAACAATCCCGTCAGCCTTCATCAGACTACCAACCTCAAAGGTTATGCAGAGTCAATCTTTAGCAAGAAGGAAACCTGGCTAGGTATCATGATAGTTGTTTCCGTGGTGCTGCTCGTACTTCTGCTCATCGTTATCTTTTTAAGAAAACGGATAACCATCGCCATAGCTCTCATACAAGAGGGCAGCAAGTACGTATATAAATTTCACATGAAATAATATTAACTAAAGTAATAAGGCAAATAATCATATGAATCATTATTGATAACGAAACCAATACAATGACAACATGATATTTATAAATATGTAAATAATAAATACATTTACACTTATCAATCGATGAGAATTGTAAACATGGTTTTTATTATAATAACTGAATACAAGTTATGTGTACATAAATATAAGAATAATGTAAATAGCAAACAATTAACGTCTCAAGACTCATATGCACTACAAAGATCTTTGTCTTAATCGATATTATAACACGCGATCATGCGTTTCAGATAATTAATGTGATTACGTGATCCATTCGCCTGTGATAAAAAAAAAATACACACTAACCCGACTGCCGAATGATGTCTTTATTTGCAAAACGTGATTAATCCTCAGTTAATTAAATATCTAAGGGATGTTTACTGATAAATGAATTATGTTCGTATTTTCAGAGCTATAATTGCAATAAAAACGACGGTGTTCTTTCCAATAATTCCATGTGTGCTACAATGCGCCGTGATTGCTTACGGAATATTCGTTTTAATGTTCATCATGTCCATGGGCGAGTCTGCCTTTCGGGTAGTCAACCTCAAGAATGACACAAGTTGTGACTGTCGAGGAGTCTACACTGAGGTCAGTTTACTAGTTACTTAACGTACTCATACTTAAACTATTGTGGAAACCTGTTGTACTTATTTGGACTTTTCCAAGGCATGTCACTACAGGGTCAACTATTGTATCTTAATATCTAAATTGTAAAATATTAGTATTTTATAAATAAATTATCAACACAAACGTTCAAAACAGCCCCCTGATTGTCTAATTTTAAATCTATTGCAATCGCTTTCAGTTTGAAAGGTGTTGCACAACCATTGCTGCATAATACAAATACTTTTTTTTCAACTGTCTTTAAAAACAAGCAATGGTTATGCAACATCTTTCAAACCGAAAGTGATGGCGATAGATTTTAAAGTTAGACAATTAGTCCCCCGGTGTATTCTGACAGGATCTTTCATGAAAGAAAAGTGAGTTCAGGTGTACATTTATTAAAAACGCACTTTGCCTATCTTAAAATCTAGGTTTTACATAATTTTGTTATATTTTTATTTTTGCTTGAAACATTATTAGTGTCGCTGATCGCTCTAATACAAATAAATATCTACATCAGATTCTGATCAATACACTTAATATCTGCAATATTATTTGTATCTAATAAACAGTGTAAATTAAATGTTTACAGGATTATGTGGACTGCAACCCAGCAACTTTTACACTAAATTGTCACGATACAAGTGAAGGCTCTTTGAAGCCTTGCAACTTAGCTTCATGCCACTTCACGGGTTTGGATAGTCCCACGAGCGTGATTTATTTACATCGTAAGTAACGTTTTATTATTAATTATAATAGATTTACTCAGCGCCGGCTCAATCAAAATTTGGCCCCTATAAAAGACTAATCTACACTGATCAAATAGTATAATTTTGCCAAAGACAATAGAAATTGTTTAGTGCTAGTCTAAGAATTTTTTACTTTTGAATACTGCGGACACTGAAAAAAATAATTTCTTACTGTTCACCTTTTTTGCACAGTTAAAATTTGTTCATTTAATATAACGTAAATAACGGTAAGTATTATCGATTTCGGACAGTTGAAATGAATACATCAAAACAGTTGAAGCTTGAACTGTTATTTTAACTGACCAATCATTGCCAGCAACTGAAAACCACAGTGACTACTACGGTTTACTTGTAAGTTTTTATCGAAAGTTGGTTTTACTGATGAATCGATTATTTCTACCTCTGAAACATTAAACGAAACAGTAGCACTAACTAACACTAACAATGTCTTAAACGTTTTGCCGCACCCAATGCCAAAACGTTAGTTTTAATGATTAGATAAAGTTCTTTATACTATTACAACATTAAGCGAACATTAAAACTCACTGACACTGACAATTACTCAAACGTTTTACCGCACACAACACCAAAATGTTAGTTATATTGACTAGAAGCAGTTCTTTCTAATGTTACAATATTAAACGAAACAGTAGTACTCACTGGAACTGACAGTTATTTGAACGTTTTACCGCATACAACACCAAACAGTTAGTTATATTGATTAGAAACAGTTCTTTCTAATGTTACAACATTAAACGAAACAGTAGTACTCACTGGAACTGACAGTTACTTGAACGTTTTACCGCACACAACACCAAACAGTTAGTTATATTGATTAGAAACAGTTCTTTATAATGTTACAACATTAAACGAAACAATAGTACTCACTGGAACTGACAGTTACTTGAACGTTTTACCGCACACAACACCAAGCAGTTAGTTATATTGATTAGAAACAGTTCTTTCTAATGTTACAACATTAAACGAAACAATAGTACTCACTGGAACTGACAGTTACTTGAACGTTTTACCGCACACAACACCAAACAGTTAGTTATATTGATTAGAAACAGTTCTTTCTAATGTTACAACATTAAACGAAACAGTAGTACTCACTGGAACTGACAGTTACTTGAACGTTTTACCGCACACAACACCAAACAGTTAGTTATATTGATTAGAAACAGTTCTTTATAATGTTACAACATTAAACGAAACAATAGTACTCACTGGAACTGACAGTTACTTGAACGTTTTACCGCACACAACACCAAACAGTTAGTTATATTGATTAGAAACAGTTCTTTCTAATGTTACAACATTAAACGAAACAATAGTACTCACTGGAACTGACAGTTACTTGAACGTTTTACCGCACACAACACCAAACAGTTAGTTATATTGATTAGAAACAGTTCTTTCTAATGTTACAACATTAAACGAAACAATAGTACTCACTGGAACTGACAGTTACTTGAACGTTTTACCGCACACAACACCAAACAGTTAGTTATATTGATTAGAAACAGTTCTTTCTAATGTTACAACATTAAACGAAATAATAGTACTCACTGGAACTGACAGTTACTTGAACGTTTTACCGCACACAACACCAAACAGTTAGTTATATTGATTAGAAACAGTTCTTTATAATGTTACAACATTAAACGAAACAATAGTACTCACTGGAACTGACAGTTACTTGAACGTTTTACCGCACACAACACCAAACAGTTAGTTATATTGATTAGAAACAGTTCTTTATAATGTTACAACATTAAACGAAACAATAGTACTCACTGGAACTGACAGTTACTTGAACGTTTTACCGCATACAACACCAAACAGTTAGTTATATTGATTAGAAACACTTCTTTCTAATGTTACAACATTAAACGAAACAATAGTACTCACTGGAACTGACAGTTACTTGAACGTTTTACCGCACACAATACCAAACAGTTAGTTATATTGATTAGAAACACTTCTTTCTAATGTTACAACATTATTTGCCACAATTACTACCAAAATGTTACCTCTATTGATAAGAACTAATTCTTTGTAATGTGTTTTCAATTCCATAAAAAAATTCTAAATCACCATGCGATTGTCATCAGGGTGATTAAAATAGAAAAATATGGCGTCATATTATTTCAAACCGATGACGTGACATATTCCTGTCTCTTTTTGGCACGTGGCGATTTACGTTATGTTAGAGCAGTCAAGCCAGTGCTTTAAAGTTTTATTTATTGTTACTTCTATTATACACTATCTTCTTTTTAGTTTGTGGTATGTAGGTAAGTACCTGTTCGTTCTTCACAATTTTAAAATACTAAAACTTAGGGGTAACAACAGTTTTGCAAACGTTTGTCAGATGTTACTCGGGACTGCTTGACGTCTAGTACGAGAGCGGACGACAAAAATAAAATCTCTTCGGGTACTACGACGGGACCGGTATGGGGTGATAATTTCATCGGGGACCTTCAGCGTAACCTGAGCAAAAACGTTTTTGTATAAAAGGTAAAATAAGGGTAATATTTTTTTGTAATGGACCCAATAACGCCAGTGCCGGTCTATATTAATAAAAGTGGCCAAGTGCGAGTCGGACTCGCACTTAAAAGGTTCCGTAGAAGCAAGTATATCTCAGGGACATAATATATTAAATAATAAACGTACCGATTAACTACAATTAGCCAAAATAACATTTTTTCGCCAGCAATAAATAACTTTGTTTTTCACAGTGTTTGTATAAATAACAAAGTTATAATTTGCGGTTTCCGAAAAAGTGCTATATCTCAAAAACTTCTGATTGTATCTCGTTTAAACTAATTTTCGTTGAAAGTTTTTATTAAAATCTATAACATATTTCTTTTTTTGAGTTTTCATTCAAAGTTAGAGGTTGGGGACACAATTTGGCAATTTGAAAGTGTACATAATTATCTTTGAAACGATTGACTTTGAAAGAAATGGTTTTTGAACCTCAATGGCATTTTTGAAGACCTATTTATAGACATCCACTCATATAGGATTCATGATTTTTTTTTTAATTTCAATTGCATGTATGGGGGCCCCCCTCTAATATTCTTTTTTTTTATTTTTGTATTAAAATCGTAAAGCAGTTTACAGAATACATACATCTACCTACTAAATTTCAATTGTGTAGTCCTAATATAGTTTCGGAATAAAGTGTCTGTGACACACGGACTGACAGACAGACATGACGAATCTATAAGGGTTCCATTTTTTGCCATTTGGCTGGGGAACCCAAAAATAGTGTTATATTAAGACAGAACTCATAATATGTATAATCATGTTATCTCAATAGGTCCAAGCCTCAGAAATACTTAGTTCAGTAGGCAACCATGTTTTTTTATGAATCAGGTTGCTGGAGTAATCTCGTGGTACAACTTTCATCGTAGTAACTACCCCATGAGGTAAAGATCATTTTTCCGGACCCTTAAATAAGAATGGCCGCAAACCTGCCAAGACAAGACGGGGCAACCTAGTAGGTACCTATACCTATTTGTGTGCTCTTTGACGCCCTCTATTTTACTTGTGTGCCAGGTCTCGCGCTGGTACCGGATAACGGAAATTTCAACAAAAAGTTTCCCTAATTTTACCTTCTTTCTTTCTACACAAAAAATGTATCAGGTTTGGCAAGGTATTTTTCTTCGTCTATGAAGGTAACCTATTTGATTTAGAAGGTCCTCAATAAATTACTACCACATATTATGAGTCCGTTGTCGTGGTATCGTCATCGTGTTTGATTTTAGTCGTCCGTACTCACGCTATAACTAAAACAGTAAATTCTACCTATCGATACAGTTAGCATGATGTGACGTCATCATCACAACACAGTCAATTTTAATGGTCGGATAGTTACTTCTACCGATCGAACAGTGACAACTCCGGCGCGGACGCGATATTTCCTGCTCGCTGCACGCTGGAACATGCTCGAACCTAGTGATGGACCAATTCGGTTTGTTTACAACTCAACTCGAGTCAACCCGTTTCAATTTTCTCTTAACTCGGTTTCAACTAGAGTTAGCCTACCCATGTTGGTGGATACATGTGACACCAATTTTTCTTCTTTTGGCTTGCTTAGATATGTAAATATACCGTTTAACGATCAAGTCATTTTCTGGTATTATTCAATAACTTATTTTATTTTTGTATTTTATTTTTAATTGATAAATTACATCACTTTTTACATATAATTCAACCGTTAACATACATACATATAAAGTATTACGTCTTTATCCCTTACGGGGCCCGGTAAGGGATAAAGACGTAATACTATGAATGTACAGACAGCTACACTGCTAAGTATACGTTAAAGACGGTCCTGAGAGAAATTCTCATTGATTGAAAGGGATCGATATATGTTGATCGGTATCAAAATAGTCATGAGCTTTCTAGGTAAAAAAAAAAAATATTCAGTCGTGTTGCAATTCTTCTGTATTACCATAGATTTCAATCATGATGATATTCACTCAGCATTATATTTCCATTTTTATTTTTTGACATATATTCTAAATAAAAACTGCTTGAATTATTAAGAATGCAAAATTTTAAAAACAAAAATATTTTTGTCAAAGAGTAAAAGCTTGTTGTCAAATCTATCTACAGATCTCATAAAATAATTTTCAAAATCTGCAATAAATTATAATACAATTAAATAATTAAAGTCTTATCCTTAATTTGATTAAAATGCCTACATGAAACACACTTGCACTGTAGAAAGACACCATTATTTTCAAATACTTAATGAGGATGTCGAAAACTACGATTTAAATGACCACGTAAATATTACCTTCTTTTTTTTAAATTTCTTTTTGCGACTGGATGACAGTGTCTCAAACCACTGATTTCTTGACATTGGCTCAAAGTTAAATACCACTAAAACACACACTCGACAAATCACGAAATAAAATCAGCTTATAAAAACCGAACTTTAATACCTATATGTATAACCAAACATTAAAAAACCAACAAAAGTAAACAATAAAATCTAAAAATTCGAGTTGACCCGAAACAACTGCAACTCGTGTCAACTCGAATTGGAATTTGAACTCGAGTTGGCGCATCACTACTCGAAAGCACGCACGCACTTCATTATTCATCTCCACTGTCAGTCGAGTCGGCGTCGGCCACATTACCCTTTGGCGTCGGCGCTTGCAGCGAGCAGTGGGTGGATTGTGCGCATTCACAAAACATCATGTCCGACTCAGATACGATTTGTACACAAGACTTGAGGGAACTACTAACGGAGTGGGGCCTGACGAAATATATCGATAAGTTTATTGGTAAGTACATTATTTATGTAGAACTTTCCTACTTAAAATATAATTGTGGTAGTACCTACTGTAGGTACCTCTATAAGTTTTTTGTATTTCAGAAATGAACAATTTTATTATTATGCAGTGAAAAGCTACATGAATTGAGCTGACCTTACTACCTGTATTTTTGGCAGAGTTTTGACGGTAATTTCGTGCTTGTGCATGTGTGTGTTGTGATCTTTGTGGTGGTACCTATTCAGCTTGAGTAAGGTAGATTGCTCCATATAGCCTTTGGTTTGGGTTACGAACTAACAAGCTAACCTTGGAACTTACGCAAAAATATTTGTTTTTACTGAACGAAAAGGTTCTTGCTACAGATTTAACATTTAACTAAACTGTTTTACCTTCAATACGATATTTACAATAGCGATTAGCTTCTGGCACTTCGCCGGCCGCTGCCGCGGCACGCTCGCTTTGCTCGTTCGGCTCGTGCTTTATTTTTCATACACTAACCTAACCTAAACTAATTTTAACCTAATATTCGTTTTTGTCACTGACTTGTCTCTATATATGAATGTAAATCCTTTAATGACGTAAATTCAGTCATTGTGGTGTTTTTGTATTATATCATACAGCAAAAATAACGCTAATCAATCCGGGAACCAAAACAATACACGCTAAATTACTCGACTTGGGCTTGTCCGGGTTTTTTGTTGTATGGAATCAATATCCAAAGATGACTAAATGTTGTTGATTACCTAATTATCTTTATAAAAAAGTTTAATATATTATTTTGTTTCTTTACACTTTTTATTATTTTTTGTTGATTGAGGTCATGTCTAAGAAAAAAGTCCAAAAATTGATACTAAGGTCCTATGAACATTTTCTTAATAAATATTACTATTATTATATGATAATAGTGTTTTGTTAAAAGATAGAAAGACATTATTTTGTATATAAAATAATATAAGTTATTCTTGGTCTTTCCATAATTTTGGCTTTTTATAACATCAAAATTATGGTATGTTACTAATACTGAGACTTATTTTCACATCACTAGTTAAAGGTTAACCTACCAAAATGACTCTGGCTTACCTTTCACTTACCTAGTTACATAAACATTTTATTTTTCAGAAAACGAAGTTGACATAATTGCATTGCCATTACTAGATGATAAACAAATAGAAGCCTTGATTCCTAGCATCGGCCTACAAGCTAAGTTCAAAAAGGCAATAGCAGACTGGAAAGCAGGAAAAGAAGAAGACCATGCTAAAACACCAAACAACGATGAAGCTATCTGCAAATTAGAAGACATATATGGCAGCTCTGTAGGAGGACTCGCACCGAGTGAAAATTCCCCAATAACCTCTCCAGTGTCCACACCTACATCGAGTAGATCTTCTTTGTGCTCCCTTGACATATACTCAAATGCAAAATTGGTGAGTATGGCACCCTTAAGAAAAACATTGAGAAAAACTTTGGTCAAGGAAATTGGTGCACAAATATTAAAACATGATCCCAAATTACCTGTAACAAATGACGTTTATTCACATTGGATTCAACAAATTAGTAAGTTTCAGATGTAATACAAACCCCTTCCCGAACTCAAATCGCCCGTAAATTATTTTTCCTATTATATTTGTTATATTACATTCCTTTTGCAATGGGTTTCATCCTGTTACAATTTTTTTTTTTGTATTTTTGATCATTTTCAGAGCTATCTGCACTGGTTTAATAATGTATGAAAAAAATGTATAATTATTAATAATTTTGAGGGCCAAAAAATCAACCAGAAAATAATGTTATACAATTACTTAGGATAGAATTACAATTCCTATAATTCATCCTTTTTATCTGTACGCCTAAGGTTACTAGGCTACAGCCAACAGGTATTATAATTTACTACTTACATTTTGTCGGATAGTCCTCATTTGCAGGCATCAGTTAGTATGTAAAGGCGTTAATAGCTGCCAACTAGTGCCTCACCAAAATGGCCGTGTTTAGCACGTTGGACAATAATTGTAATAAAAGCGAACAATATTTTATTTAATAAAATATTTACGTCATAATAAGCTGTAAAACTAAATAAAATCTACTTGTTTACAGATTTTCGATATATTGTTTTATCTTTGAGATATGATTTTTTTGTGATGGCGGCGCTAGTTGGCGGCTATTAACGCCTATTTGCTCTCGTTAAGTGAGGAATTTCAACATTTACAAAAAAAATTTTTCAGAAATAACTTCAACTAATTTTTGTTCGATTATGTTAACATTTTAGATAATGTGAGAATACGCTTCAGATTTTGAAGGTAATGTGAATCTTTAAGTTTATCAAATAAAAAATATGTGCACTGCCGAAATTAAGGTTTTATTTATTGTTCACGCTTTGTGCAGGTATTTAACTTTCAGCGATGCAGTACTCAATACGGTTGAAGAACTGTAATAACTACTTATACAACGGTAGCTGGTACTGTTGGTTGAACAGTACCTTCTATTGGATAAGTAGAAGTTGCTATTTCTCAACTGTAGAAATAACATATCCGCGCAGTACCCACTGCTGGCGAGAAACAGTAATTGTTATACTGTTCCTCATAGTAGCAGTATCTGGCAGTTCAGAAGCTACGTTGTGAATTCCAACGCCACTTACTAAAATATTCGCTATTAATACAATTTATCAAAATCTCGTTGTACCTATAAAATTTTTGTGTTTGTGCTATTTTTATAGAGATTCATTTTTAAGAAAATTCAACGGAAACACAATAATCGTGTGCATTTAGATTTTGGATATATTGTGTTTACAGCGAATAATATTTTGGTAAGTGGCGCTGGGGCTCATAACTGCCAGATACTACTACTATGAGGAACAGTAGCAATTACTGTTTCTCATCAGTAGTGGGTACTGCGCGGATAGGTACAGTTGAGAAACAGTAACTCATACTTATCCAACAGTAGTAGGTACTGTTCAACAAACAATACCAGCTACTGTTGTATTAGTAGTTACTACTGTTTCTCAACAGTATTGGGTACTGCGTGAAAGGGTTATTAATACTATTGAAAACAGTTCCAGCTACTGTTTTCAATATTAGTAATAACCTATTCATACAGTACCCCTTACTTTAGAGAACCAGTAGAAACTACTTCTACAACAGTAGCTGAGAATGTTCTTAACAGTTGCAATAACCTATTCATTCAGTACCCCTTACTTTAGAGAACCAGTAGTAACTACTTCTACAACAGTAGCTGGCAATGTTCTCAACAGTTGCAATAACCTATTCATTCAGTACCCCTTACTTTAGAGAACCAGTAGTAACTACTTCTACAACAGTAGCTGGCAATGTTCTCAACAGTTGCAATAACCTATTCATTCAGTACCCCTTACTTTAGAGAACCAGTAGTAACTACTTCTACAACAGTAGCTGGCAATGTTCTCAACAGTTGCAATAACCTATTCATTCAGTACCCCTTACTTTAGAGAACCAGTAGTAACTACTTCTACAACAGTGGCTGGCAATGTTCTCAACAGTTGCAATAACCTATTCATTCAGTACCCCTTACTTTAGAGAACCAGTAGTAACTACTTCTACAACAGTGACTGGCAATGTTCTCAACAGTTGCAAAAACCTATTCATTCAGTACCCCTTACTTTAGAGAACCAGTAGTAACTACTTCTACAACAGTAGCTGGCAATGTTCTCAACAGTTGCAATAACCTATTCATTCAGTACCCCTGACTTTAGAGAACCAGTAGTAACTACTTCTACAACAGTAGCTGGGAATGTTCTCAACAGTTGCAATAACCTTTTCATACAGTACCCCTTACTATAGTAAAACAGTAGTAACTACTTATACAACAGTAGGTGGCAATGTTTTAAGAAGTAATAACTACTTTTTCACACAGTACCACTTACTTGAGAGAAACTGTAATAACTACTTTAAAAACGGTAGCGGGCAGTTTTCAACAGTTATAATAATGTTTGCATACAGTAATTGCTAATAAGAAGACGCAGTTGTAACTACTCACAAAACAGTAGCAGCACTGTTGCTAAACAGTAAAAGTCACTGCATACCAATCAATAAGAGCTACTGATTCCTTTTACTGTTTCCTCTTACTGATGTTTTTTACTGTTTCCACTTACTGTTTTATTTTACTGTTTCCACTTACTGTTTTATTTTACTGTTTCCACTTACTGTTTTATTTTACTGTTTCACTTTACCGATCGAATTCGCTGAAACAGTTAAGGGTACTCAGTTAAATTAACCGTTATTACCTTACTGTTTTCATTAGGTTAAAACAACTACTTGATGCAGTTCGCTCCATTTTAACTGCGCAAATCAATAAACTATAACGAAATTTCGGTATATTTTGCCGATTTTTTTTTTCAGTGGACATAGACTCATATTCGAAGAACAAAAGTATTTTTTAAGGTTTCATTAATTAGAGCAAACATAATCTATTTGTCTTGCCAAGCCACCTCCCAAATGCCTAACTACCTAGGCGGTTGCCTGGTTACCATTGAAAGCCTTGTTTCATTTTTCTTTGCAGTCGTCAATTTGCTTGCCTTTTTCTGGACTATGTTTTTCATCAGCGGTGTCTCAGATATGATGCTAGCAAGTACATTTTCTACTTGGTATTGGACATTTCACAAGAGAGATCTCCCTTTCTTCACCTTAACTGCTGGTATCTGTAGAACGTTGCGGTAAATATATTTCTATTTCTTTTAACACTTTGATATTTATTTGAATAGAATAGAACATACTAATATGATTTCAAATGATTTTTCCAGATACCATTTAGGAACTGTTGCATTTGGTGCACTTATTATAGCCATAGTGCGGGTCATAAGAGTAATTCTTGAATACATTGACCATAAGATAAAGAAGTTTGACAATCCATTCACAAGATGTATACTTTGTTTCTGTAAATGTTTCTTCTGGTGTTTGGAGAATTTTCTCAAGTTCATCAATAAGAATGCATACATCATGTGCGCTGTACACGGCAGGAATTTCTGCAAGAGTGCAAGGGATGCCTTTTCGTTACTTATGAGAAACATAATAAGAGTCGTCGTCTTGGATAAGGTTAAAGATTTTATTAAAACTAATACAATAAAAATTATTTTCTTTTTTTTTCTATTTTAGAAAAAGAAAAATATATTTTAATTTCCATTTTCAGGTGACAGACTTTATTTTCTTCCTGTCCAAGTTATTGATCTCGATTGGTGTGGGTTTCGCCGTTTATTATTTGGTGCAGTGGAATCTGGTGTATGAAGTCACGCAAGGCGAGAGACTCCACTATAGTTATACGCCTGCCATCATACTCAGTATAGCAACCTACCTCATCAGTTCTATATTTTTCAATGTTTACTCCATGGCAGTAGACACATTATTCCTTTGTTTCCGTAAGTATAAACTTAGTGAATGTTTGATTTCATTTTCACGCACGTGAATTAACTGTTTATTATTAAGGAACATTTTTAGTGGGATAACAATTAGAATTTATGTTGATTCAGACTTAGAATTATCTATATGTCAAATTTCACCAAATACTGTTCAGTAGTTTTCGCAATTATAATATTAGTAGAGAATACAAATTTAGCGGGACATATGTTGAACTATGCGTAGTCGCATATTTTCGTCTCAACCGAGGTGCTGGGATGAGACGCAGCGCGTTACCATAGCGACGCAGTACACACCACGACTGTCTCCCACAGAGACACTACTTTGTTATATTTGTAAATTTTTGGTGTTTGTAGTTAATATCTTCTGTGATGAGAAATAAATGATTTTATTATTATAACTGTGCCTATGCAGTAAGTCGCTATTTTGGTTCAACTTTTTGATAAGACAGGGTTTGCGAAAGTTGCTTGATCGCAGAACAAATGCCTGATCACTACGCCATTGACCTCAACTAAATTAAAAACCCTCCAATCCGCATTGGGCCAGCGTGGAGGGTCATGGCCCGTCCTCCTTAACCATCCATAAGGAAGGCCTGAGCCCCTGCAGTGGGGACGTAAAAGGGCTGATGATGATGATGAAATTAAAATTAGAAACTAAGTCTGAAACATTATTTTCACAGTGGAAGACTGCGAACGGAACGACGGTTCATCAGAGAAACCATACTACATGTCTAAAAATCTTATGCGAATTCTGGGGAAGCATAACAGAAGAGATTGAAATAAAAAAAATATATAATGTGCCAAATTATTTCTCAATTAGAGTGTAAAAATTGTGAGAAAGTGAATCAAAATAACAAATGATTTTGATATTACCATAACAGTATTTTATAAATCATTAATTTGTAATTTATATTGAAATTTAAGCCATTTGTATGGTCATGAAAAGCATATCGACGCTGGAAAGCAAACATGTATTAAACTGCAAAACCAAAATTGTTCTTCAGAGCAGAAAAACTTATTTTTTTTCGATAAATTATTCCTATGTACGTCCATGATAACAAATAAGATGTTCCTTAGTCAATTAATACAGAAAAATGGTTTTATTTTTGAAAAATATAAAGATTTTCCACTCTAAATATCCATTTTGGTTTTGCAGGTAACTACATGTTTCCTTTCCAGTGTCGATATGAATGTATTAATTACTTAATTCAATTTACCTTGTATATATAATTATCATTGTGTATAAACTTTTTATATAGGTATTATGTTTTACAAAAAGTTTTATACAAAACAGTATTTTTGTGATAAGTACCTAGTTTAAAAGACGCGTTGTCATATTCTTTATCAAACTATTGTCTGCAGTGTTATTCTGTTAAAATTACAGCGTCGAACATAGTGCTGTTGCAACATTAGAGTTTCCACTAAATGAAGCCTACTTCGAAATGTAATTAAAGTTTTATTTGATTGAACCTCTATCTTGACAGCGTTGCGTTCGACTGTATTTGTTACAGAATAGCTTAGCTGAGTAATAATAAAGACTATGATTTTTACAATTTCAATAAAACTACTTTTGAGCTATTTATAAGACTGGTTTTACACAATAAAACTTGAAAGAGATGCAACCCTTTTAGAGGTTAACTTTTAGATTTAATCTTATGCCAAATATAGGATTACTCGTTTTAATAATTTGATTTTACTATAGTTTTATTATTGTTTTACGGATTTTAATAATAAGTGACTTAAGAAATAAGCCCTGCAGATGAATTGGACCAAACTTATTTGTACATCGTAAATATAATTAAATTTCAAAATTCACTTAACAAAGAATTCACTAATATGACTATTATTTTGTCATAAAATAGTTAAGATTTTTGATATCAAGATTTACTTCCATAAAAATGTAAATTATTTTTATAAGTAAATAAAATTCTTGTTGTAAATTTCGTATTTTTGTATGCCACTTACCATTACTATAAGTTCAATGATTACAAGCATTTCATTCTTCCATAATGTTGTTTATTCTATGTTGTGTTAAAAAAGCTACATCTAACATCGCTTCTGGATCTAGTAAATCCTTCACAGACTCATATTTCAAACTCTCTTCATAAGCAAACATAATACTTGTGTCATCTAGCATCATCTTGGAGGCTACTAGTGCTGCAATGCAGTTCTTGATCCTTGCCATTGTTTCTCTGTCTGATCTTGTTACTGGCTGTCAAAATATTAATATATTTAACCTCTCTAATATATATTTAAGATAACATTGCAAAATAAAAGCAACAACAAAGCTGACTAAGATACATACACATATATTTAAATATTTGAAAACGATAGGACAAATTCTATAAATTAAAAAAGTTCAATACTAAAGAAAAGGCTGCATGGTCACCAGATCTTTGCCTCAAAAGGAAAAGAAAGTACAATTCAATATTCACCTGCATATCATAATTCTCAATTTCATCTGTGTTCTCTTCAACCATTATGTCTTGTTTTTGTGGGCTAATCCATATGTAACCATTATTACCAATTATAACTGAAATTCCACAAGGCAGATTGTGAAAATGATTTTTTCTTCTTTTAACCAGAGATGGGAAAACTTTTATTAGTGTACCCTGGGGCAACTGACAAAAAAAAAGCAAAAATGTACAAATATATATTTAATAAAGTTAAGATACCTAATGGTCTATTGATTTTCATCTTATATAATAAGTTACTAATATTTTAGGGATTCAAATGCTGCCTCATTTTTTTGTCAAGTATCATATAATATATATTTATTTTTGAAACGAAAATTTTTGAAAAGTATGGCACAGATTAAGTTTAAATGGAGGAAATGTATAAATTACTATTTTTTTTATAATAATAATAAATAATAATGCATTAAATATACATTAGTACCAAAAAAATGATTAGTACCCACAAGAAAAAAAAGGGCTTCATTCCTTTTGCTTTGAAAGTCCACTGATTTACTTTTTACATAGATGGGGAAGGGTCAAAAATTGGCAAAAACATTTTAGTAATAAATGAATGTTTCTACTTATAATATAAATGTTTCTAAACATTGTTTCTTCAAAATATAAAATGAAAAAGCACATAATTTTTTCCTTTATAATATACTTTTAAACATGGTTAAAAAATGGTCTTAATAGTTTTTTAATACTTCCACTAATACATAAATATATTTTATATATAGTTTGACTATGAGGGCATTGTGGAACCTGTTATACCTATAGCTGTATCAATTTATATGTAGAAGTACTAAATATTATACACACAATTTTAATTTATTTACCTTGCCATATTTTAAGCTTCTTGTATGTAATGAAAGTGATCCATCAGAAAATATACTTTGAACTTCTGCACTAATAAGATCACCTTCTTGCAAGTGTTTCCTCATCATTTGCTCATCTTCAGCAGACCTACGGCGCTAAAATCATAATAAAACTTAAACATTTACAGTCTTATTATAAAACAAGGGCTAGAGTTTAAGTAGTTAAAATTAAACCATTGGCCATCTAAGGCCAATTGACAATGACAAAAGAGAAAACATCAAATGGTTGTCTGGAAGAGATCGCTTCCAGCGAAAAGACCGCCTTTGCCCACTTAAAACCATGAATTCTATGTAAATTGTTATTATGATGTATGTAGTGTTAAGTGTAAGTGTTAAATAATAATAATAATTGTTGACTATCATTGGTCGGGTAATCAGTTCAACCTGGTACTAAAGTTAGTCCTCATTTTATAATGTCACAGTCCATTTTATTATCAAATAAGGACTATTAGACTACTATAGCAATTTTTTCATTAATTAACATAAAAAATGGTGTAGATCAAACTAGCCTAACAGAGAATAACAATATTAAAGAATATTTATAGTGTACTTCGTGAGTACCATGAGTAGCTTGGTGCTGTAGTGGATAAGCGTTGCGGCCCACGATTTTTGTTGTTAAGCAACTTTCGCAAGGATCGGTCCCGGGATGGGTGAGCAAAAAATTATTATCTTGAGCTACTCTGTACTTAGAAAGGCATGTGAAGCCGTCGGTATCGGCTGCATTTGCAGTCGTTAATACCCTCCAATCTACATTGGGCCATGGCTCATCCCTAAGAAAGGCCTGATCTCCCGCAATGGGGACGTAAAAAGGCTGATGTGTATGTTGATTAGTGTACCAGTTCTCCTCCAGGTAGATTAACAGCTGAAAGTTGCAGAACAGAGTCTAATCTTGAATTAGTTTCGACTTTCCATCTACGTTGCTGCACCTCAAGAACACGTCCCACAATCACATCTCCGATTTCTCCGACGTAACGACTTTTCAAAGGTCGAATACAAATCAATTTGTTCACTTTTTGCATAACACCAGCAACAGAAGCTTTAAGGCAGTCATCTTCAGCATATGTTCCATGACCACTGAAAAATGCAACATATTACTCATGCATACTATTTGCTGATGCTATGCTGATCTGTTACTATGCCATATAATAAAAATAATATAGAAGTAAATAAAACAGTGGAAGCTTTAGTAACTTGGTTAAAAGAAAATAATCTCAAAGTGAATTTATCTAAAACAGAATATATACAATTTGTTAATAGAAATGGTATAAAAAAAGATATTAAAATATCATACAACCGAATACTGGAGGAAAAAAATAATCATGCATTCAAGCCATGTGATGTTAAAAATATAATATCTTGTAGTCCACTATTTAAAATCTTAAAAATGCTAATGGTCCCTTGCTTATACATTTATGAAATATGTGTTTTTGTTGGGAATAATCCACACTTTTTCGAATGTTATGATGATATTCCTCATAAGTTTACCACTAGATATCCAAACAAATTGCAGCTAACTTTGATACAAACAGAAATATGGCAAAAAGTACTTATACTAAGGCAATTAAAATTTTTAATAAGCTGACAATAAAATCCAAAAAAACAACAGACTTAGTATATTTAAAAGAATGGCTTACAGTGAAATGTTTTTTTAGCTTAAAGGAATACATTTATGCATTAATTATATGTTTACACAATTTTTTTCCTCCAATTAAAATAAAATCAAAATTATGTTTTATTAATTCTATTATTATTGTTTTTAGCCGTCATATTTGTCAGCTAAAAGACGTCCTGAACAAGTGGTAGGGGAAAAAATATTTTTGGACGATTCAAAAGTGCTCGTAACAAGCTTACTTGAATAAAAACATTTTCATTTAATTTCATTTCATTTTAGCCTGATACAAATACGAAAAAAACGGAAATAATTCGATATAAGCCTGAAATATTATTAATGAATTTGTGAGCCAATTACAAGAGACTATATTTAAGAATCCATCTCATTTTAGCTACGGAAGGTATAAAAAAAACATTAAGTCAAAAAACCTTCATTTCCTTCACACAAAATTACTAACACAACTTTTTTCACAAATTTTGGTTTTATTTATTATAGCGACAATGAAAATTACTGAAATCCAACTAAAAATAGTTTTTTTTTAACTTTTTTTTAGTAGTTTAATATGATAAAACTTTTATTCAAAGTATTTCTAAGTGGATTTTAATGATTTTTAGTAGTGTTTAACTCAAAAGTCTGCTGCATATATTGCGTGTTATATTTTTGCATGGAAATTTTCATTCGATTCAAAACAAGATATACTTAACACAATATAATAATATCGATTGAAGTTGTATTTCATTGAATAATATTATTGTTTTTTTTTTTTAATATTTTTTAAATATTTATTGTCTGTGTTCTATAAAAATATGAGTATCCAAATATAATATTAGGAAGATTTATGTATTTCATGGAAGTAACAGTGTAGAGAATACATAGAAGTCACTTTATATGTATTTTGCTTATGAGAAATTAAAGGAATTTTATTTTATTTTTACTAATAATCTGAAAGAAAATGTAGTTGGTTTAATTCATATATTAAAAAGGAAATATATGATACCCTCATAATAAAAAAAAACAGGTGTTACGTTATAATGTTTGATCTACATACTGAAAGTTGGTATTTGTATCAGGCTATTTGTATTATGACTATGGTATTTTTATTTTGATGAAATTGAATTGATTTGTTTGAAATTTGATTAATACCATGATTATTATTATAATTCCTTGATTATTATAATTTCTTCTGGATGCCAGTTTCTGGTTAATATGTCTGACGACTAGAAAATAAATTGTAACACCTTAGACTTTCCATATTTATGCAGAAATACCTAAATAAATATAAACAAACCATTGGCCTTTTTCCCTTTCAGGGTGCTAATTGGTACAATAAAATATGCACCATTAATGAACTACTTCGAAACTTAAAATTTTCCATACAATTTATGTAATACTTATTTATTTTAACCTTACCGCATAAAATCTTGTACGCCACTTATAACCTCTCCAGGTGTATAAAATCGTGGGAGTTCAGTGCCTGTTGCGACGCACGCGTTAACTCGTTCAGATGCAAGTCTGATAGATACATGACCAGTCATTATGTTAGTTTCACCAAAATTAATGTAATAGTTGTAAATTAACCAAAACTTGAAAAAAAAAAACAAAATTATTTGCGGATTTCAGTACAACTTTATTGACTGACTGTCACTGTCACATTCACATTTCACATTGACACCTCAGACCAAATGATGGTGTATTTTCTACGCCCGGTAAAAAGAGAAGAGGGGTAAATAAAATAATTAATATAGATTGTTTTGATTTAGATTTGATTATGAACAAAGTTAAAGAATTCTATACAGTACGAAAATAAATTCCAACAGTAATGAAAATTTTACAAATTCTTCGTATCTAATGATATTAAGTTCCAAGGAGGGAGGGAATCATTAAGATGAGGAACAATGTCTGTAAAATACAAACTATATAATATAATAATATATAATATATTCATAAATATCGTCATCAGCCTATTCTACTCCACTACTGGACGTGCATGCCCATTTGGGGAGTTTTGCCCATAGTCACCATGCTGGGCAGGCTGGGTTGGTGACCGTAGTGAATGACATATCATTTCGGACTGTGTTTTCAGTATGGGAGACGCTGCTGTCCACCAGCAGTATAATTATTTATCGCCTTTTACGATGCCCACGGAAAGATATGGGGTGGTGCTATTCTACTCAGCCGGCACCACATATACGCTTATACATTTTGTACATAAATATTAATTATACATAAGTACATAAATATGTAGCGAGTATAATTAAAGTAAAAAAATATTTTTTATTCGAATTTTCAGACTAATTCTTAAAGATATTGGCTTTGAATATGTTAAATGTCAATCGAAAAGAGTAATTTTGATGGAGCGAAATGACATAAAATTACAAAGATTTAAATATTTAGAACGCTTGAAGAAAAATAGAGAGGCTTAACAACATAACAAGTTAGATGTTATATTATCATTCACCCACACAAGCTAATCGTGTTGCTGAAATAAAAGAATGGCTTACTGCAAAAAACATTCATGTTGAGGATAAGTGGTGTAAATGCAAACTAATTGAAGCTGTCCAGAAGACCAAGTTTGATCCTGTATAAGAAATTGATCAAATGTTAAAAGCATGTGGTCATAAAGTTTTACGACTCCTACCTTATCATTGCACACTTAATCCCATAGAACTGATTTGGGGAATAATGAAGCAAAAATTAGCTGAAAAAAAATGTAAATAGGCCAGCAAGTGATATCAAATCACTAACTGAAAGCTTTTTCGCAAATCAGTGTGGAGGAATGGCGAAAGTGTTGTCAACATGTGCAAAGAATCGAAAACGAGTTCATAGAAAAAGACAGGATAATTGAAGATCTAGAGGAAAGGTTTATTATAAATACCTCCTTGAGTTTTAGAGTCGTTTTCTAGTTCAAATAAACTAAATAACATTACAAGATTTATTACTATCATCCCCCTTTATAAAATTCTCGAAAATTATATGTTTGTATTACTATTATGAACATATATTATTTATATTTATAATATCAAGAGAATAGATTTGTTTATTAATTTGGTAGTTTTTGGATAAACTCAAAAACTGTACAGATTATTCTACAGCATAGTTTCTCAACCTTATTTTGCTTACCGTCCACTTTGAGAATATATATTTTTTCTAGAGCCCCCTTTCTTAATTTTACTTACCATCTGTCGCTTATTTAAAACAGCTTTTGCCACGATTATATTTAAACGTAAATGAAAATGAGAAAATATATCATATTATAAAGGGTCATGTTGCAACCAAAACGTGAATTCAAAAAATATTCTGGATACAAAAATAAATCAGAAAGTAACCATTAAAATTCACCATTATTTCATTTCTTGTTGCAATCTGATTAATTTTTGACAGAAAAAATGTATAAATACATAAGTCAATTTGTAGCTTAATTAATTATGCAGCACTTCCAATAGTTTATGAGTAATTAAAACTCGGTAAATCTAAAAGACTATCTGTCATAATTACTCTTAATATAATTTTAAGACGGTTTTAAAATTTGTGGGTTTGGAAATATATGAGGGTTTGAAGTCATACAAGGAAGAGGGGTATTTTAAACAATTGAAAAAAACAAAAAAGGCGGGTCTCAAACTCAAATCAAATAGGAAACCGTTTCAAGTACTTTTCGTATTTTTCCTTGTAAGCATAATAATATCATGTCATTTACGTGCTTCAGGCGCCATCTTTTGATGGTTTACAAAACTATACTTTTTTATAATTTTTAGCTTATCAATAGGTATCATTATTTAACTATTAGAATGATTTTCTTCTCTATTATCTTTACATGTTAAAACGAAAAATAGAATTTCTTAAAATTGAGTTTTTTTTCTTCGACAATATAGACATCAATCTCATGTCACGTATTTAGAGTGCCATCTCTTGGTGGTTTTCCAAACAAAACTAATGATTACATTACAAATATGAAAATATGTTTTTTATTTCTATAGCGCTTTGGAGCTATCGATGTATGGACGCTGAGCAATGTCCTATACAACTCGTCCATAGACATAAAATCTATAAAGGTGGTATTAAAAAGATAGGTAGAAATAAAATCGAAATTGAATTTAAAATGGGTCTTGATGCGAATAATTTAATTTCCTCAAATTTATTACAAGTTTGTCGAGAATTTTCTAGGCAACACAATATTAAAATAGTAATGTCCTAAGAAAATGTGTCGTATCTGTAAAACCCCGAGCATTTGCTGCCCAGATGCTCCCAACTTTACGCATTACCTCTATCCCAAACTCCCCACAAGATAAACCGAGAAATCGTTACGTTACTCTCAAAAGAAGGGCTCCTCTTCCTAAAAGTTACGGTCACACCCAGCAAGAAGCCCCTTCCACATCAATCAATGGAACCAACTCAGAAAACCCTTACTCATAATGATATCCTATTTAGGTTTAATAACACCCAGTGCTGTGGGTGTGGACTCTATCAGTAGGAAAATGATTACCCTTATCCTTGACGAAATCCTTCCTATTATCTCCCATATTCTTAATCAATCCATAAACACGGGTATATTTCCTTCAGCCTGGAAAGATGCTTCCGTTATCCCGTTTCCCAAAAAATCGAAACCACTATCCTTCACAGACTATAAGCCTATTTCCATTTTACCATTTCTTTCCAAAGTCCTGGAACGCCTTATTCACAACCAGTTGTCCAGTTTCCTTTTCAAAAATCAACTCCTTAATTCCTACCAATCAGGTTTCCGCGCTGGTCATTCATTCTTCCAATACTGGATTACTCCGATGTCAGCTATCTAGACTTAACTGAGGAGCAACTGAATAAACTTGAGAGACTTCAAAATTTTTGTATTAGATTCATATTTGGGTTACGCAAGTATGATCATGTATCTGATTTTCGCACTAAGCTCAAGTGGTTGCCAATTCGACTTCGTCGGAATGCACATATTGTTTCCCTGCTTTACAGTATACTGTTCAATCCTCTCTCACCAACTTATCTTAAGAACGTTTCAAGTTCCTTAGTGATACGCACTGTCGTGTTTTGGGATCATCGGAGAACCTAAAACTGCAGGTGCCTGTGCACTCCACAAAATTCCTTGATAAGTCATTTGCAGTTCAGGCTGTTCGCTTGTGGAATGCCTTACCTGAAGAAATAATGCGCGCTCCTTCATTAAAGTGTTTTGAAAATATGTTAAAGGAATACTATCTATCACTTTAGGAAGAAATGCTATCGTATCATCCTGTTGTATTTATCTTGGTACTGTTTTATTTTAAATGTTTGTATGTATATTGTATTATATTATATTATATATGTTTATTATATTATATTATATTATATTATATTATATATAGTATATTATATTTATATGTAGAGGTATGTATATGTTATTTGTATGTATATATGTAGGTATGTTTCTCTCGCAATGTAAGACACCATCTACTACCCGTCTATTTAGTAACAGTCCAGTCTAGCCTACCGTTGCCTGGCAGAAATTGCTCTTTAGCGATAAGGCCTCCGATTGTACAACTAAACTGTATAAATTGTATTTTCTCTATAATTTATGGTGTACAATAAAGAATTTATTCATTCATTCATTCATTCATTCACCCTACCGCCCAACGTAGCACCGAAACTTAATTTTTTAAATAGTATCCGGCGTAAAAATGGCTCGTTCAGTCCAATGAAGAACACTTCCCGTTTTTTTCAATAAAAGTGTGTGACCTAAAATACATGAATATAAATATTTATTAAGTAAATACAATGTCGCTGTCACTGCCATCTCTGAGACGTGACTTAAACTTTACAACCGGTTACCGATGCGTGGCTATGTCTGTCTCAGAGATGACAAGGCCGACGGCTACGATGCTTGCACTCTTTTCAACCTTACTCTCAACTCCTCCCTACCCTACATAGTGACGCATACCTACCAGAAGTCTAGCCTACTCAAGTTCCCAGATCTGCAATGGACCTGTCCGTATATTCTTCTAGTCTGACACTTCTGTTAACATGGAAGACATTGTTGTAAACTTATGGAATTACCACTTCCAATCATAATAGCTAAGCCCGATACTTGTATTCCAACTCCATCATTGCCGACATTACGAAAATACAATACACGCAAGGGAGACTGGTACATGTTCTCCAAAGATGTAGAAAACTAATTGAGCCCAGATAACACAGATCAATCCTAAAAGACAGATGAATTGTATTTGATTTTTACAAGCGCTCTAATAAATGCTCATATATCTCGAATTTCACCTGCAATAAGAATGAATATCTATCTATACCCTTGGTAAGACTCCGAATGTTCGGAAATAGTAAAACAAAGAAAACAAGCCAAAATAAATTATAGCCTCAATATTACTCCTGAAAATTTTATTAACTACCACCAAATAGCCGCTAAGGTTAAACGACTCTTTAAAAAGATAAAAATAGGATGTTTTTGATTCTGCGAAAAACTCTCCCCGTCTATAGCTTCTAAAGTTTGGCAAAGTATCAAACACTTTCGTGGGTCTTTAATTGGCCCTCCGGCAACATCTAAAGGTCCGTCCTCATGGTTGAACTCTTTTTCTAGTAAATTAGCTTCTCCGTTCCCATAAAAATTCAAGAGATCTCTTCTTCCCCATTTTTGACATATAACACGATAGATTTGGTTTAACACTCAAAATTGCTCTTGAAATCTAAATGATTCTTCACTGGTTGAATATGGCATCTCGTATACATTTATTTATATCGACACTCTTTGTAATAAAATTGTAAACATTTTCTAAGAAGTCAAAAAAAAAACCAAATCAAAATTATTTATTCAGTTTAGGCTTTTACAGAGCACTTGTAAAAGCCGAAAGCTACACCATCGGTTCGCAAAACTACGGCGGGAGACCTTGTACTGAGAAGAACCAGCAAGAAACTCAGCAAGGGCTGCTTTTTTCACCCTGTTTTAACTCACACAGAGAATTCTTATTGAAATGTGACTTCATTAGAATATGAATATGAAGTCACATTTCATTACAATATTAGAAATAAGAGAGGTATTATCGATAAAATAGTGAACAAATATCCCATATTCTGTTATAAACATTTACCTGAGGCTGCAAAAATAATCCTGTTAAATATTTATAATCGATTATTGTAATCCATCTAACATTATTCCACCTAGCTGGAAATTTCAACTGATAGTCCTAATTTTAAAGTCTAACAAGAACTTCAATAATTTATATTCATATAGACCGATACCTCCAACATCTTGTTTCGCAAAGTTATTTGAAACCATAAAGTAACTTATATAGTGTTTGAAACTTTGATTTACAACTGATTTAAATTGAACTGATTTACAAAATTTACACCGATGGATCGAAAAGTAAATCTTTCACAAGTCTAGCTTTTTTGTCTAAATGTAAAAGAGGTATTGAAGTTACAAAGATTTATTTTATAATTTTTATGTCAATTCTTTTGGTCCCTCGTAATTTAATTAAAACCTTATAGTTTGTGTTGTGTATTATTATTAATGTTTGTTTTTCGTTTGTTTTTGATATAAGTTTTATTATATTATTTTATTTCATTGAAAATAGTTCCTTTAAGATTTTTCATATTTAATGTTTAAGCTCTTTGCCCACTGGCCAAAGTGTAACCAATGCCTCAATACATAAAAAAAAAAATCTGTTTTATTTTTATTATGTATGTGTATTGTGTTGTGTATGGTGAAATTAAAGAAATTGTTAAAATATAGACCTACTAAGTCAGAGAATATAGAGTTAGGTGCTGTGAGTAAGAAGAAACCATGTCTGCTACAAACGTAGCTCCAATTACAGCTACTGATAGCTTGTCTCAAGCATTAAAAGCTAATATCATACCAAACCAAGAATATTTGCTTCAGGTAAGAGAAGTGGTAGTAAAATTGTAAATGTCGTCCAATTATAAACTTATTTGAATACTATAATGAATCTAACTTAAAGTGATGATTGTTTATAATGTTTGTAAGAATAGGTGCAGATTATAAATTATATTTGATATTTTATGATAGCAACAAGTTAGTAGTTTCCACTGGATTTTTTGTAATACATGTATGCAATGTTTTATTAGGGGTCTGTACTGGACTCTGCAGTAGAAGTTCTGCTTCACCGTCTTCGAGGACTTTGTGATAATGTAGACGCTGGTCCAGAGACATTTGATGATCAAGAAGTTTGCTTTAGCCTAAGAGATCCAAATCAACAGGTAAAAAGATTTGATCATTCATTATACATTTGATATGAGATATAGGGAAGCAGGATAATATTGCAGTGATCTTTTAAATATAGGTACTCATGATTTTTATCAACTGAACTATTAACTTTTCAGACAGCACCACTAATGTTACGGGTTCGTAAAGCACTTGATGCCAGAGACATGCCATACCAACTTCGTTACATAGGCCAGCCTGATCTGGGTGATAAGAATAGACCCACAGTTGTTCGCTCTAGTCTTGACATTGCCTGCAGTGGAATGCTGATTGAATTCTTGAATGAACTTGGTTGTAGGATAGAATTTGAATATAGTATCAAAGGTAACTGTTTTTATACATCTGATTCAGTATGTTTATTGTTATACACAAGCCCAATTCATATCATTTTAATGACTCAGAAACGAATATAAATTGACAATTTATAGTTGTAATTTATGGTCCTAGGGTGATCCCTAGGAAATAGTAATAAAAAACATACATAAACTTTTATGTCCTGCCCGTTGTCTTTTAAATCTAGGGTAAAAATATTAATGTCCACAATTTTTATTTATATTTCAGGTTATATGTTCAGAAAAGGAAGAATGAAGATTACAGTTGCAAAGGTCTTCAAGATATCACAGAGTTCTATGCCACCAGAGCCGATATCTCAAAGCTATTTAGTTGAATTATCTGTAAGTATTTCTGGTTTTTATTACACAGTTTTTTTTTTTCTATTTCATTATATGAGGAAAGTGGGTAGGCATTTTTAATAAGTTTTTGAGACATTACAAAAACTCGTTCAATAGCTTGTTTTTAACTGATTGCTAAAGTTGCAAATCATTGGGGTCAGAATGCGATCCATTTGAAATTTTTGTATTTAAAATAAAAATATCTATTTCAAAAATGTATTTCATTTCAAGTACTGTTTGAAACATATTTAGTATTTGTAATAGTTGGTTTGATGGAATTAAATTCCTTGTTTCCTAATAACATATTGTCCATAGAATATGTGCTATCTGTTTTTCTTCTCTCTTTATACTAGTCTCCACTCTCAATGTAACATACATAGCTTGCTCGAACACCACATTGCAATGTTATAAATAAAGGATTTCTTATTTAACTTCTTATTATTCATAATGCAAAGGCATTATTTAAAGTGTAGGCATTATGAATAATGCCCTAATTGGTCCATAACATATTACTCATATAAGATTATAAATGCACTTACATAAATATGGACAGTAAATTTAAAATTATCTGATGTAAACTAAAATTTCTTATAATTATAACCGAAAGATTTTAGAAATTATGACTTTATGACATCATCTACTCTTTTTACACAAAGAGTTAACATGGCACCTTTTATATACTATGAGGTAATTTAATATTTATTTTAAATAATTTACTTTCAGGTATTGGCACCCCAGGGGCAAGATGCTATAGGAGAAGATATGCGAGCATTCGCTGACCAACTCCGCCCTTTAGTTTTACTTGATAAAATAGATTATAAACGGCTAGGCCACATGGCTGTAACATAGCCTTTGTTCTTTACTTAGGCTGTGTTCACATTGTAATAAAGTTATAACGTGAAGACAGTCTTAGTTCAAGCCGATTTATATCCAAGTCTCAATAGCAGTGGTATATTTATTCCGAATATTAATACAGTAAGTCCTAACGTATATGACGCGCATGTTGAATCTTTGTTTGCGCAGAGCACCCCCTTACTCTCGGACGCAATCGCCGCCAATTGACGTTGCAATTGTGCCGTTTGTCGTACGGTCGCGATTGTGTTTGAGAGTAAGGGAGCAGATCTGACAATTCCGAGAATGATAGAACGCATGATTAAAATTTATATTAAAACTTGTCATTAACTATGAGGTATAAAATACAAAGTATAAGGGGTTCTTCTTACTCAAACTCGGCCGGGGTCAGGCGCCTGGATATTGGTGGATCGCTCGATGGCGTAATACTTCAATCATTCTGATTGCTCGACATTTTCTGCGCTTCGAAATTTAGCCTTCTATGTGAGCCATATCAGTTGTATCTTAATGTAAGAATATTATGGATTAAGCAGGAATTTCAATAAATAATAGAACTTTTATATGTTAATAAACTGTAATATCATATTACAATTGTTTAAATTCAGTTTATAATCTTCTCCTACTAAAATTCTAATTAATAATAGTTGCAGCTATATCAAGTTTTGTTCAATAATTAACAAAGTCTGGATTCTTTTTTGAGTGTTTTAGTGTATTGTGATCTTCTCCGTAATCTAAATCTTCGAATTTATGTCCATGCACGTATGCAAAATTGCCGAAGTAAATGCAATGTTCATATTTTATGGGTACAAAATCTGAAAAAAATAATCCGAAAATTATTTGTTTGTATCTAATTTCAAAATCTTATTTTTTTTCTAAAGAATATGATAAAAAAAAAGTTCACATCAGGTATATTTTTGTGCTATGAAATATACCTGATGATAAATGATTAAATATTAAATTATATTAAATTATTTAGAAATTTAGAATTTCAAAATAAGTAACAATTAGTAATTATTCACTTTGGAATAATACAATTAAAGAATACTAAGCAAAGCTAGGAACAGATGGCAGCACTAACACATACATTAAACAAACCGCCCAATAAGTCTGTTTTATTACAATTACGATAATGCTGGCTTGTAAATAATATCTGAAAACATATATATTGAAGTATTTTAGATTTTTCGCCTTGGAAATGAATAATGCCTTTCATTCTTATTAAATATGTAGCAATTATAAAAATAAAAATGGGGTAAAAAAAACCACCATGTTTTTTAGAACTGCAAATTAAATTTAAATTATTATTCGTTACGTTTGACAAGCCTACAAAACCATTCAATCAAAAGTCCCAAAAAGTTCAATTCCCGAAATGTTCAATTTTCGATCCATTAACCAAATTATCCAATTTACTATCATGATAGGTTTGTCACATATGTAAATTATTTGAATTGGTCCTCGTAACTTGTCTTAATATATTAAATATTTACAAACTTGCTAGCGATTACTTATATTTTTGACATTTTGATAATTGTACATATCAGGAATTGGACATTTCGGTAAATGGACATTCTGAACTGAAAGGTAAGAACTGTTTTATGCTATTTGTGCTATTGCTGCATTCTGGAGACAGAAAGTTGCCATGATACGTCCAACTTATAGTACCTGTCCCATCTATACAGTTGTACAGATCCATTATACAGTGGTTGTCAAATATAAACGTCGCATTTGTTTCGAAATTAAACGCACATATTTTCTGTAAATATGTCGGGCATATTCCGCACCTGTATGAAGGAAAAATTTAATGTCAATGAAAATATTAGATAAGTATGGAAAATATAGTCCTGTTGGTATTTCATTTCTTATTTAAGGAAAAAATACAATAAATTACCAAGTAACTGTTTTTTAACTATTTTAAATAAACAATATAGGCTAGTCTATCTAATATATCCAAATTACGTGTATAGATTGTTGATATTACATTAATATTATCCTCTTATTCAGAGCTCGATTGTTTGATTCATAGGAAAAGCCTGTGCCCGATCAGTCGGGTATTTAATTAGAATAAGAATATAATTTTATGGGAATATGAACATTTTCATGGATATAAAAAATATAATGAAAGTAGAACATTAGCGCCATCTATTGGCAGTAAAAATTAATTAAAATCATGTAGTTTCCACTTAAAACCTATAGACCAAATCTACCTTGGGTATAAATAAGTAACTTATTTTTCAGTTATTTTTATGCCACGCTATTTCGTCATCTCTGGGACTATTGGCTTCTCCCGATTGGCGGTGGATGCATCATATTTGACGACCTCCGTAGCCGAGTGGTTCTCACGCAGGTTTCAGGTTGTCGCTATCTCTTAGGCTCTGGGTTAGATAGATTCCGGGTCTTTTGTTTTATAACATATTTTCATGTATTTTTCCGCCGCCGCTTTTATAAGTTCTCTCTCCGGTTGACTGGTAGATAATGCCTTATGGCATTAAGTCTACCATTCGTAAATTTTAATTGTGGAATAAAGCATAACTAACAAGGGGTTCTTTAGCAACGCATATGGGAATCTGAGTAATGTATGTGACCATATAAATAAGTAATTAATAGGGGTTAAAGTATGAAATTGCATTTTTACTGAAAAACATTTTTTAATTTTTTTTTAACATAATTTAATGAAAATAGTTACCGTTATTATCTATACATTGCTGCCATCTAATAGGAAGGTCATTTATGCCTTTGCGATACGACTCTGAGGATCTAGGCTGCACAAACTGTGTGAAAGCATTTTGTACTGCCTCCTGGGAAGAAAACTTCTTGTCACGTAAATAATTGTCCAAATCACGAAAAAAATAGTAGTCCGTTGGAGCAAGATCTGGCGAATACGGAAGATGACGGATGGTTTCTAACTGCAGTTTCTGAAGGGTCAAAACGGTTTCTCGTGCTGTTTGAGGTCTCGCGTTGTCATTGAGCAATAATGGTAAAGATCGATTCTTGGCTCGGGGCTGTTTTACTTGTGCGTGTTGAAACTTGTGTTAACAAGGTAACACAAGTTTCAACACGCGTTTCTTTCTGCAGATCAGTCAAATTATGAGGTCATGATGAGGCCTACTCCACGTGAGGCACCCATTTTTTTATTTATTGATTTGACTGGGTAGTTTGACGAGGATCGGCTTCCACCGTCTCTCTTAATTTATCGTTATTCACCTGTGTGGGCGGTCTTCCTCGTGGCTCGTTTTTCAAGTCCAAGTTTCCATCACGAAAGCGTTTAAACCAAAATCGCACAGTGCGATCATTAGCAGACCCCTCTCCAAACGCAACATTGATATTGCGGGCTGTTTCTGCCACGTTACTTTCGCGTTGGAACCCGTATTCAAAAATCTCTCGAATTTTCAATTGAAAGTCGCAATAACAAAAATAATTTAAAGTCGACATTAAAATTTCTCACATTTTTAAAACAAACATGCGAAAAAAGTTTCTTTCGAAAACCTCACACCATGAAGATTCTATGTCAATTCAAGGAACCTATTACATTATAACGGCAATTTCATACTTTAACCCCTAATATTAAATTAAGTAGGCCCGATGTGGATTGGGGGTGTTAATTAATAATTATTTTATAGGCGAAGCAGTTATATCAGGATAAAATACTTTTCAGCACTGACCTGTGCCCATCAGGTGCAGGATTTCTTTTATATTTCATTTTCGAACCTGCTCCATAATCGATTCGTCCGGTTTGCTCGGTAAAATCTGAGAATATAAAAAATTTCAACTTGAGTGTCTTTAATATCGGTAACTGCTTTAATAAAATTTTATAATAAATTTTTATAATTTTATTTAAGTTTCTTACATCGATAAGTGACTGTAAAAAAACCCGGCACCGAGAAACTAAAATTTAGTAACAATAATTGATAAAAATATGTAACAACTACGAGAAGTTTAAACGCCGGAATTTTTGGCGCGCTTGTCATGACGTCAAAGTACACGACTAGAGATATGACATTTTAAATCAATATGGATTTTCTTATTATTCAGTGATTGCTTATTATTCAATTACCTAAACCGATTAAGAACAAGTCGATTTTTTCACCAAATTGCTGAAATAAAAATAAAAGCCTACAACATAGTACCTATAAATTGTAATCTGTTGTTTATTTTACGACATAATACATTGATTTTATTGCATCGATGTTAACTTTTTATAACGAAGACATCCTTATACGTGGAACATTTTCGTCACATCCGCTCTAACAAGTAGCATGGTGTTTGAATATTTTGTTACCGCATTTCTTTGCACTTTTTAATAATTATTTTCAATATAATAATATTTACATAGACTTTATTAAAAAAAAATAATGATCTTAATAAAATATATTTAACCCTTTTTTGAATCGGACGCATTTTTCCCAATATAATTTATTCTGAGAGCTGCAAAAGAATACTTATAAACGTTTAGCTGATAATTTCCTTTTAATCGCAATTTCGTCGGTATATTAAGAGTAGGTTATAATGTGTTCTTAAACTTTAAACTCCTCTATTCTACACCAAATTTCATTACATCAGCAAGACACATGGCATCATCTTTTGCTTTTAGAATATAAAATTTGAATGAGTTGAGTATATACTTACAAAAGAAATTAATAATAAAAATGCATGTCGTAATGTAAAGTTGCATGATTTTTCTTATGTCTACTTATAAATTGGTAGGAGTATGTATGTCCACAAAGTTACCTTTCTTTGATTGATTTTCTTATCTTGTAATTATTTTAGACTCAATTTGAGATTGTATGACTTTGAATTAAAATTTTCAGTTCGGTTTAATAATTTCTGAATACTGAACGATATGTTTATAACGTGGTATACGTATATATGAACAAAGTGAGATTCCGAAGAAGTAAGATGAAGGTCTTAAGCTCCTATTATTTTTATATTTATTATTATATTAGTAAGATGCAACTGATTTAAGAGTAAATTGAAAAATTGTGGGCTTGATTTTAAGATTAATTTACATAATTATAGTAACGAATAAATAACATTTTATACGTTGCTTAGAAATTTGGAAATGTATAACAGTTTTTGTGCAGGCAACTTCTTTCTTTCGAGTAGAGTTACCATATTTTACAGCTGTAATTAATTAAAAATTACTGTTACTTGAGGCAAACCTGACTAAAACACTTTGAATCTAAATAAACGAAAATGAATATATTTCTTATGACTGTTGACTTTTAACCCAAAAATTTATACAAATTCACCAGTTAGGAGTAATAATAATAAATATCTTCATTTATCCTCACAAATACACATACTTTACTATTGGTAATTTTTTTTGTAGATTATTTTACACGTTAATTTGTGTCTATAGTAGGCTAAGCCTGAATTACGATCGATCGATCATATCTCTTATTTTCATATATGTAAATTTAAGTTATAGGCACTACAAACACCATTATTGTCAACTCGACCTTTACATTAATTCATAACGCACAGTAAAACGAAACACTATAATTTAATCTATGGCATAACTTATTATAAAGGTTTCATAATATGATAACTCTAATAGCCAACTTTTAAGTTTTAGTTTACAGTTAA